TAGATCTGGCCAAATGATCTGCAAATTTAACCAGAATTATGAATGATAGGTTCCTCTCTTTATACGATGATGCAGACTACCAGTCATAGTAAAATTATTCAACCAAACATACAATTGAGTTGTCAATTATTTAGATATTTGATAAATTAGTTAATTGAATGGTTGATCGGCTATAGCCGGCTATTTAGCCGCGGCTAGCCGGTAATAGCCAGCCGATAGCCAGCCGAAGTCAGCCGATCCCATCCCTAATCGTAGGTATTATATTGGAATGAAAGCAAGGTTTTATTATTAGGGGACAGAATTTTATGTGGGTCTCGAACAACTAACTGTCTTCTTCGTAGGGCTCGAAGCCTTTATTATATACTTTCATTTACATAGGACACGTTATACACTCTATTCATGATATATCGCTTATATTACTTATAACGTTTATATGTTTATACTGATTATTTTAATCATACGTACCCTTGATCCCACTGATATCCATTATTCACCATAGTATACAGCAAATACAGCGTATACTGCCGGTAAACCCATTTTAAGTAGGTGATCGACATACCCGTTCTGTGCCACTTCGATTACCTACTTTCGGGATCACAGTCCTACGGCTCACACCATGTTATATAATACATAGTTATCCGAAGTTCTACTGCGGAAATTCGGAGTCAACCATAGTTTTTTTTATTTGTATCACCTTACAAGGCTTGATTTATTTGTGAGACAGGTCACAAAGTGAAATGTGTTCGGTTAATCATACCTTATCTGGACTAAGTGCGTGCGTGAAAAAAAATACCGTCCCTGTCGTAGACGCGTCGCAAAAGTTTTTAACAATACACTGAGAACTTTTTTTTCTTTGCCTTAACCATTGTAAACCTGGTAATTATGTTTTTCACCAACGAGCAAAAAGAAGCCACCACATCAGAAATACCTGCTACAAAAAAGCCATCACGACAATCTCGGGAGCGTAAACATAAAAGGCAAAAATGGGATTACGAGTATGCGCTTAATATGGATTTTAATTCGCTGAGGGTATAATTGTTTTTTATTCTGAGTTGGATATAGCATAGCGCTCTGTTATTATTTTGTGTTGATAAGGGAATTGCTTTGTCATGAGTTTGCTTTGGCAAGTTTGCTCAAGGGTGGTTAGTCTGTTCTACAAAAAATATAACTTAGTTATCTATGATAAATCAGTAACTTTTTTTCGAGTTATTATTTTTTTTGTATTGATAAGGGAATTACCCAAATTACTTGTCATGAGTTTCTTCAAAGTAATTAGTCTGTTCCGCAAAAAAATGCATCCTATGCTATGAGATTAAGGTTTGCAGATTCTAGAGGAGGAACCTTCCTTAAAACGATCCTACTCATATATTCTATTTTCATACTATTACAGGAATCCGCAGAAAAGGATCCAGTGTTTGATAATGAAAACAAGGAGAATCAGGCATTTTATTTCTTAAAGTTAAATTTCGATTTAACTTCGCATAAGCTTATATATAGTAATGCATGTTTTATTTTTATAATGTATATGATTTTATGCCCTTTTTTTTTTTAGGAAGAAAAGGCCTTTTCTCAAGGAAGGATGCTTAGAAAGAGAGGCAAAATAAATTATGCTGAATCAGATGTAGAAACAAATTCGGAATTAGATTATGCTGAAGAAATATCAACAAAGGTGAATGGTACAATGTTGCGTTTCTGCATATGATCATAAGTCATTCGTTCTAAATATTATTTGTTAAATCTATTAAGTATGGTGGAGGTCTATGGAAACGACAAAAATTCAATGATAAGTCTAATAATTATTCTGAAATAGGATCGCAATTTGCGAAAAAACTCAAGGATAATAATAGTGGGGTAATTATATAAGCTGAAACCATGGACATGATCACTAACGATTGCTAATTATTAATTATGATGTTTTTTTAGGCAGATTCTAAGAATATTCTCTCAAGTGAAATTTCAACTAAGGATTATAATTTATATGTGGATGGTGTAAATATACGTACATCAATTAAAACCTGGCGTCAGTCGACCAAATATGTCGCCGAAATCAACAAACAAGAGTATGTTTTATAATTCTGTCTTGGGAACTCTATGAACCATTATAACATTTGTGTGCTTCCTTTAGTTTGCTATATTACAACATTATAGATACGGTCGAAACATCAGCAACTAAGGCGCGAGTTATTTTTAAAGATAAATTGGTTGAAATGATAAATACTATTGAAAGTAATATCAATTCAGGAGAATCAGTAAATGGAAAGCCACAAAATGTGAAGAAATATATCAAAGAATTTATGAGTAATATAGTAAGTGGTTCAGTTACAGGTGATTGTTTGTGATATTATTTTTAACCTGTATTATTCAAAAAAAAGACAACCTGGGCGCAATTAGAGAATGTTCTAGAAAACGAGAAGGTTAAACTACTTGAAAAATATGAGAAGCAAGCTTTAGAGCTTGCAGAGATCTTGTAAGTGTCTTTTGGCTATGTTTTTTTTCTGTATTTAATGTAGTCGATCTTGCTAACGTGTAAACCTTTGAAATTACTATAGCAAAGATCAATTTGAGTATGGTTGGAACAATTTTACAGAAAAGCAGACAGAATATAATTTTATCATAAATTTCGTTTCTCAAATTTTTAAATTGCTTTTTAAGGATAAGTCTTTAAAACTGGATTGGTAAATAACTATTTTTTTTTGTTTAGCTGTTTATGTTCGGACTTATATAGCTTGTTTCTTATTTTTTCAATTGGGGTGAGAAAACACTAAAAGCGTCAGCAGTTTTAAAGAACGAATTACTTCAAGATGACTATAGACGTAGTCATGGTAATAAGATCGACCTTGTCATAAGCATTGTCGACATTAAATTAGAATGTATGATCATGGAGGTATCGGGTTCTCCGAACGAGCAAGATCATACCCACTATGTGGGTGACTGGAACAAAATAGCTAAAATGTTAAAATTAATTATAAACTATACCATCACCAAGTATCCTGGCAATTTCGAAGTACTAAGAAAAATAAAGTTTTATGGAGTTCAAATCTATAGTAAGTTGTGCAGTTCTATTATTAGTTTAGTATTATTCTGCTGATCAGTCTAAAATTATAGATCACAAATTTTACGTCTATTCGATGTGCATGCCATTTTCGGCAATATATTATTTCAAACTTGAACTTAAATTTGAATGTCCAATAACAATGAGAACACTTTTTAGGGAATTGCCAATATTTGGGCAAAATTTATGGAAAATGAAGGTAAATTTGACATTTGTATTGATGCAAGTTTGCGAATTTGATCTAAAGTTTTTCTTGAAATCCAATTAGGACCTGATTCAATCAAGTATAACGGAAATTATAAAATATATTGATGGTGGAAAAGGTGAAGAAAGTGATGGAAAAGTTTCAGTCGATCTGGTCAATTAATCAGGAAGTCAGTTGTTGAGTTTAAATTCAGGTGTATCTTTTTTCTAATAGCTTTTTAGTTCATTAATCTATTAGCAAAAAACCATTTAGCCTAATTTTACCTATTTGAATAATCATTGATTTGAAAATCCTTATTATGTAGTATATTGTTAGCGTTATATATAATTTACTGAATATCTATTAATAAAGAATATATACTACTTTTTATATAGAAAATATTCGCTGATTCGTCCACATCAGACTTATGATTTATTAACTTTGTGTATACATGTACGCAATGGTGGAGAATAAAAAAAATCAACATTTCCAATCTATTGTATATAAAGCCTTCATAGCTTTACTATTTATTGTTATATTTTTTGTTATTTCGCTATTATAGTCACTTCTCTAAGTGCACGCACTACGTATAAATGCATGTATTATATAAATTTCCTCTAAATGTACTTTTAAAATAGCATTTTCGTATTGAATCATTATAGTGCCAAATATGGATATGAAGAATCATGAATAATAAATCTCTTTTTGGGGCCTATATATTCTAAAATTTATTCTTTATTCTGCATTTTATTTTTTATAAAGTTTTAAGTTCGTTAAATAGTTTTTTAAAAAAAATTTATTAAGTAAAAAAAAATACATTAAGCTCGTCAAATAATCTTTTAATAATAAAAAGTTTAATATCTTTCTATAATAAATTCGCTTAAAAAATTCATAAATTTATCTATTATAAATTGCAAAATAATGTACATTATTTTTAAATTTACGAATGAACTGAAGTCAATTAATAATAATTAATATAGATTAAGAAATGACTTCAGTTGAACGGGATTTTTATTACTCGTCTACTAGAATAGAGCTTCGCGAATCTATAAATCCTAAAGCTTATACTCCTTTATTAAAATTATTCATAATCTGAACCACAACCCAATTGTTGTAAGATAATACTAGTCTAAACAAAAATTGGAACACAACGAGTCAAATTATATTGTTTGCAGAATATAAAATTGACTCTTATTTATGCATATACCTTCTATTGTATAATATCAGTATTAACTTTGAGTAGAATCACTATAAAAAGAATCTAAACAAATAATATTTAATCACAATTTAATATGCATTACAGCAGATTTGTGTATTTTTAAGTATTGACTAGACTATTAAGTGCGTCATTTACTATTTTTTTTTACATTTCTTATTGTAAAGTCATATAGATAATGTCTAACACATTAACTCATCTTCAAAGATGAGTTTATGGGTTAGACATTATTTATATAACTTTAGAAAGTAGAAAAGCATATAATCAATTAATGAAAAATTCAGGTTATAATCTTTGAATAAATAATTGTTTAGTAAAGTCTGCAGGAAATGCATATTTAGGATCAACTTATTTCTTTAATTTTTGAAAATAATTATCATATGTTTCAATTGTGTCTGTGTCTTGTTTAATATCAAAAAACAGTTTTTGTCAAATAGCTTTTTGTTTAGATGTATGAACACAAGCTCTAAAGAGATGCTTAAAACTTTTTGCTTAAATAACATTATTGTTAAAGGTATTTGAAATTGGATTTAAATTAAGATATTAATTAAATATAATTTTTTTTAAATATACAGAAACAAGTTCAAGCTTTTAGGTTATATTTTATTTATTAGCAATAATAGTTCTTTAAAAGTTTTCAGACCATTATTCTAGATCTTGGGTTTCATTATTATAAAAAAAGTTAGATTTTAGAAATCTTTTTATTTTTTTATATGACAGTAGTAAGATTAATCATAACTTGTATAGCATCTTGTAAAGCTTAATTAGTTATATTAATAAGTAGATTGGGAAGATTGTTAAAAAAGAATTAAAGTAGAAGTATGTTAAAAAAACTATTTTTAAAAAGTTATTAATGAGGTAAATTAAAGAAAATATAATGTAAACTAGAAGTATTTATAGAGTTTAGAAAAACTGTAATATATTTTTTTGCTTTTATATTATTAATAACAAGTTGTAAAATTAATAAAAACTAAGTAAAAATATAATAACTATTTGAAAATTTAGTAAAAGTAACTAATTTACTATAAGAAACTAAACTATTTATAAAATTATATAAAAAGAAATTTGTTAATGCCACTCTTTACTTTTGCTAATGCCATCTTTTTTATATATAATATTTAATTTTTGATCTTTTAGATCTTAATTATTAATTAGAGTTAGATTATATAAGAGGTGACATTAACAAAAATAGAGAATAATATTAACAAGTCTTTATAAAAAAAAAATTATTTGTAAAAGTAATATTATTATTAGTAAAAAGTAGTAAAATAATATTTTTAAAATTTTTAAAATATTAGTTATATTTTTTTAGTTTTTTAAAACTAAAACTTTGTAATATATTTATAAAAAGATTAAAAATATTTTAATATTTAAAAGATAGATTAGAAATTTGAAAAAAATTGTGTTTTCAAACTAAAGCCAAAGCAATAGTTTTAGAATTATTAAAATCTTATTAGTATTATTAATTAAAAATAATATCTTTTAAATAAAGATAAAATATAATTTAATTAAAATAGATAATAAAAAATATAAAACTATTTTAGGTTTTAGATAAATAGATTTAAGTTAAAAAGCTAGTATAGTATTAAGTTCAAAATTATTCAAAAAATATATTGTTACAAAGTAGATTTTAGTATAGCATATTATATAATAGTATTAGTAATTATATATAAATTCATTATTGTATTTTATATATTATATTTATTATTAGTTATTAGTTATTAGTTAGCTGATAGTTATATTATATAGTAGATAGATAAAAAGATCTTAATTGGCTATTAGAAATGTAGTACAGCTATATGACATTGAGTAACATCTGTAATGTTACTATTGTTTTACAAACTTTAAGTACTTTTGTACAAGTTTTATATATCTTAGCACCAAATTACTGTGCCAAATATTGCAGCACAAGAATTTCAAGTATTTCTAATATGAACTCCAAGTATTTTCACACAAACTCTAAATATCCTTACACAAATTTCAAGTATCTTTATACAGATTCAAGTGTCTAAATACAAGCCTCAAGTGTTTCAAGTATAGATAATAAATAATATAAACAATAACTCTAGTTGCCTCTATACAATTTTTACTATTTCAAGTACAGTATCATTTAATGTTATTTGAACTTCTACTATTTCAAATACAATGATATCTAATGTTATTTGAATCTCCATTATTCTAAATACAATATCAAGTAATATTGCCCAAATTTCTACTATTCCTGCTAGTTAAAAAGATATATAAAAGATACTTTTTTCTTTTCTCTACCAATTCTAAGTTTCTATACTTCAATTTAGACCTTTCTATCTTTATCTCTAAACTTGTAAAAATGATATTCACCCTCTTAACTAATTTCTACAAATAAGGTTATCATTGTGTGTTTATTTAATAAAAGTTATTTATATATTGTTACTATTTCAAACTATTTGTCTGCTGCTATGTAGTAAAGTGAACTACTACACCTCTACTCTGTATATATTTGTAATAGTTAATTATTATACTAGGTAACCTTGTTACTTAATTATATTGTACCAAAAAGGCTGCAACTCTGTAACATTATAGTGTCTTTTGATGAAAAGTTAAAAACTATTTCAAAAAAAGCTAAAATGTATTCTAGAAAAAAAACAGAAATCTCTCTTAAAGAAACTATTTTAGAAAGCAATTCTTTCTTTAAAAAGAATTTTATTTTGGAAGCAGCAATTGTAAAAAAACATTTCTAAAATTTTGGAATTATTATTTTAGATATATCTCTACTAACTTAAATTGAATTTAATTATTTTGTATTTTGTATTTTGTATTTTAAAATTAAAAAAGTTTATGTTTTTATCTTCTATTTTTGATTTTTTGATTTTTGAAATAATCTTGATTTTGACATTTCTTATCAGTTGATAAATATATTTTGAATTGTTTAAACTTTTAATTTGATTAATTAAATTCTTTACTTGCTAGTACTATTATTTTAGATTTATTTTCTTGATTTTTATTATTTTATTTTATCATTTTATTACTTATTAATATTAATCTTTCTCAAAAAAATTTATTTTATAAAAGATTTTCTTACTTATTTTTATTTAAAAAATATTTGAAAACACTAACAAATTTATAGTGCAACTCTTTTTTACTTTGACTATATTGCAAATACTTGCAATTGATTTATCTTGCCAATAGTATTATTCACTAACTCCTATTTTTTTAAACTCAGATGAACATTTTGCAGTATTTTAGACTTGGTATTTAGGAGTTTACCAAGCATCCTACTTTAGTAAAATTATAAAAACCAACTTTTTAAGATTAGTTACTGCTAAATGTGCAGTTGCTCAAGTTGCTATTAGAAATATTATTTTTAGTTGTCATTATTAAAACCAGATAACTAATCTTCAAGATATTACATAAAATACTTTAAATCATATACTTCTTATTATTTAGTACCATTAATTACTCCTGATTAAAAAATCTCATTTAATATTTTTATTAACAATCTAGTTAGAATCCAACAACATATTAAAGCTTTACAAGCTACTGCATTAGAATCAGTACAAGGTTTTGAGAAAAAAACTAATGCATTTACTTTTTAGCAAATACAACAAGAAACTGCTATTACTATAGAAAAGTTAGTTACAACTTTTACTTTTTTTATTACTGCTGTTGTTATTCCTATTAGAACTTCAATACCTATTACAGACTCTAGCTTTTTAGCCCATATAGTGAAGACCAAACCAGTGAACATTATACCTATTTCTAACTGAATAATCTACCAAAAATAGAATCATTACCTTCTCTTTTTATTCAACCAGAAGCTTCACAAAAAAAAGAAATCATCTAAGAACTCTTTTATATTTCTACTTAATTTTTCTATATTTCTTAACTTTTAATATTAACAACCACAGTTTGAATGAATAAATAAAGAGTGAATAATAAGTAAATAACAGAAAAAAAATCTGCTATTATTCTACCCTATATCTGCCAA